TAACTACTTTACTCATTTTATTTACTAAAATAGATAAAATTAGGTTCGGACAAACGAGCTTCGGACAATCGGGGCCGTCTCCTTGGTTCTTTCCTTTCCTTCTTCAGTTTCGATAAATTTCAAGTTGCCTTAGCATGATCTTAGTAAGGAGAAAGGTGATGACATTGAATGAGAAGCAAGATAGTCTTTCGACTAAGCTCCAGTTCCCATTCTGGGCAAACAAAATAATTCTGTGAATGTGGTACAGGATTTTGTAAGAAGAGCACAAGTATTTCTTTTTATAGAGGTTTACTTCTTCCAACAGTTCCCAACATCTCTATGTACATGGATAACAATTTTATAATCATGTGTTCATCAATAGATACAATTCATGGAATTAATAAATACAATCACTAAAGTTTCTTAAATTCTCATATAATATGCATAGATTTCTCTTGGACTCATAACATTTCTCCACTATTTCACACATACAACCAAAGTGTACATACAAATTAAACTTTTTATAAGTGATATAGTAATCACTATCACTTCTCTCAACAACAAAATCACAGTCTCTTTATCTTTTTGGTTATAGAGAAGTATTTTACTTCCACAAAACTTTCGGTTACACCATCAGACCTAATTGGAGCTGACAGGTATGACATCTATTCTCCTTACAGGTAATATTTGTCACTTGGTTGGATTAAAATACATCACTTTCAAAAGTCAACACCATCACTATTGGTGCTATTGGTAAGCATCACCCTTAACATTATGTACACAAAAAATGAACAAAGAAAAAAAAAAGAAAACAAACAAAAAAGAACACTTGAGGAAACAGTTGTGATTCAATCCTGGGTTCTCTTTTCAGACTACGTAATTAATGCCTGTCCAGGTCGTTTAGCTACAGCACCAACAAAGTCGTCTGAAATTTTCCTAAAACGTATCAAAGCAAAAGAAAGTGTCTACTTGATATAGAACTAAAAAAAATAGATGGAACAAAGAGATCTGCTAACTATCAGCCACTTAGATAGTTGAATGCAGTAACTCAAGCTGTAGTATAATCCCAGTCAAAAGATTATACAACTCATAGATGGTTACAAACTAAAACACAACAAAACAAAATAGAAAAGGAAGCAAAACAATAGGGTAAAACTTCTACGGGCAGTTTCCAGTTTCCATTTTATTTTTGTTTTTTTGAAATTTGGAAAACAGTTTTGACTGTTACTTAGCAAGAAAAAGAAAATTTGTTAATGCTTTTTTTTTTCACTTTTTTTTAAATACTGAGGAATATCATTTATGCGATTCATAGCCATAATTTGCACATATTTCAGAATCCATAACAACTTACATTGAGTCAAAATGTATTAATTTAAGGAAACTGAGACAACTTTAACGACAGAAAAAGAAAATGAAAGGACAGTAAACGAAGCTCACCACAGATATTTTACATTCACACTTGGCACATTTTCACACGCATTCACACAACTTAGATTTCATAGAAGCATTTTATCAGTGGAGAATATATTTGTTCTATATTGCGGAAGACTGCTACATGAACAGGCTGGACTACAGTTAACGTAAAAAATGGACTTTAAAAAACAAAAACAATAATTTATTACACAAAAAGTAGAAGCCATCCAACCTGGCCCTAGATATGTGAGTATGAGATTGATTTCTTGTAGAATACTATTTTTTTAAGTCATAAAAAATAAATATAAATTGCTTCAGTTGTTAGTCTTACTTAATAATGGTTTGAATCCATTACAAATTCAAGGCTGAGGAACTACAAATGCAGCAGAAACAAATGAACAAGTCAGAAAACATCTTAAAATAAAACATTTTGATAAAATGAACATGAAGATTTTTTAATATGGTACGCTTGTGTATTTTCAGTAGAAGGCAGTGAATGAGTTTTGCTGACATAGCAGGCCTCACTATAAATACTGAAAATGACAGGTTTTAAAGCCCACTTGAATACTCCTGCCAAAGATTTATTGTAATAGAAAACTCCTCTCACTTTAAGGCATGTTTCATTTACTGGAAAGGAACATAAATCCTTCAACACCCTCCAGGCATACTGCTCATGCTGGAACATTACAAAGGACTGATTTTACGATTAAATGCTTGCTTAATACAAAATACACTCACAAAACTCATTTTGTTCACAAATTATTCCAAATTCCAAAAAAATATGGAGACTTATCAAGTGTGTGAGTTTTTTTTTTCAAAGCTTATTGAAGGTGGCTCATGACTCACTAATTAAACAAACAAGACTAGAATCGTTGTTTGGCAAAATTAGGGTCAATATTCAGTGCAGCTCATAACATTAAAATCAACTAAAACAGAAATTACTGCTATACAAATTGTTCTAGTTGTATACGATCAAATCTCTAGCTCACCATACATGCAGTTTCTCGCTGCAGATACTTAACTGAAACTGTAAACGGTTGTTTAGAACACCGATACAGGAAAAAAATACCTTCAATTACTAGAAATATTAAGTCATAGACATTTTACTAAAATGATATATTTCTCTATTAAATAGAATATATGTAATAGTGTTTGGGGCAGATATATACTGTATGTAGATAGATATATATCCATAGTACACTGTACCACTTATAATCAATTCATAACTGTAGGTAAAGTAACCTGAGATATTAGAAAAACTTTCTAACAGAGATGGGTGCAGTGCCACTTTGCCAGCAAAATTGGCAGCAACGTCCATTCCAAACAAATCATATAATATGAGTCAACAATTTACCTATAATATTGCATAACACAATAGGAATCAGTTCTGAGGGACTCAAATTGACTCAACTATATAACAACCCTTAAAAATATTCAAGTACTATTGGCTGCTTTCATGTTAAATCGTGACACTATTCAGATCTTGCAGCTGAGGCAAGAAAGTTCTTGTCAGACAACTAGAAATGTTTGAAACCTTATTTCAAAACCAGTTTAGAGACCATTAACTCAATGAATGCTACATTCCAAATAACATGAAAACACCAAAGCATTTTTACTCACAGCACCATACACGTCCAAACAACCTAAGCTACACAACACATTTGGCCATGGGATCTAAGTCCACATTTGTGCTGTTTCGACTAGTATTAAAAGAAGAAAATACTCATTAATGGAGTCAAAAGAACATAAAAGAACAGGTACTAGGAGTGTTAGACAAGTAGTTTCATGACTTAAAGAGGCCTACTCAGATCCAATTCATACCAATATATTGCTTGTAACAAAAATGGATTCCACGGAAACGGAAATCCATGAGAAAATTGATGAAGAAATAGGAAAGATCTAATAAGGACACTAACAAGAGATAGACAAACACTGAAGATTTTGCCATAACACCAAGTTAAATTTAAAATAGAATTGCTATGCTTTGACAGACAGGAAGAGCCATGCACACTTTCTTGTCATGGACCATAACACCAATAAACAAGGACAGTTCTGTCCAAATTTGGCTCTAAAAATTTGAGGAAAAAGAGCCATACTATACAACAAAATAACAGTCTTCTGCACAAAAATGTGCCCTAAATTACAGAATGCAAAGTGGACTAACAGAAGCTGGTTCAAACTCAAAATTGTTGTCAAGAGTACAAACATCCTCCAAAATAAAGGAAGAATAGTTCGTTTGTAGAGCAAAATTATTAAGTCACATCAATAAGTCGTAGGGACATCAGCCTTTCGCTATGATTGTGTGTTGGCAAATCAATTTAGTAATCTAGTCGATGTCAATAGTTGGAATGCGCTCTCTCTTCTGGCGTTGACGTCCACTCTTAGAGTGTTTACTATGACTGGGCCGTCTTCTCTTTGGTAGATGGTCGTCTTCACAGCTGCTATGAGTTGAGTTTGAGCTTGAGCTTGACTCTTCTAATTTCCTCTTTAGTGACCTTGTCAAGGGTCCTTGCCTACCTGACATCACACTTTCACCTGCACTCACAACCGATGACACTTCCGACCGCTTTGTCCTTCCTGGCTTCTTTGTCCTGTGCCTGTGGCTGTGCGAGGCACTGTCCTGAGGCGTTGTCGAGGGAACCGGGGTGGTGAGTAGCTCCGCCTCCTCCCTGGGCAGGTCCTCCAGGAGGCTAAGTGAGTCTGTGTCTGCGGAGCAGAGTCGCTCGGTGCGCTCGTCCAGCGAGTCCTCAAGGACGAGGCCTGCCAGGGCTGAGCCGCCACCGAGGCCCGCAAGGTTCGGGCGCCCCTTTTTCCTGCGCGGAGGTACCGGGGAAAGCAGCATGCCGCCGCCGAGGTCGGAGACGGGGCCAGCGCCGCACTGCTGAGCCGAGGCCAGGGGGATGGACGCGGCGCTCTCAGAGAGCAGCGGGTTGCAGGCCGCGCTCAGCGGGGACGCGGGTGGGGACGAGGGCAGGGACCCACAGTCCATGCGCTCGCCCGAAGACGACGAGGACAGGCTCGACAGGTACTCGCGAACGCGAGACTCGCCGAAGTTGAACACGTTGTCGCTGTGGTCGGCCTGGCCGCGCGGGCGCGCGCGCTGCTGCGGCTGGGCAGAAGAGGTGGACGCCGAGGCAGAGGCCGGCGACTGAATGGACGACGTCGATGGCACCTTGATGGGCGTCTGGATCGAGGAAGTCCCCGACGAACTGGAGCTGGAGAAATTGCTCGAGGTGGAGAAGCTGCGGTTGTCCACGGAAGACTTCTTGTTGCGACGTCTCTGGGCCAGTTTTGCGTTGACAACCTCCTGTGAGAGAGCAAGGGAAGTGTCAGCAAGTTATTGGGCAACCACAAAAACAAAAATCTACCAACATTTTAATTGAGGATGATACACTAAAGAAATTCCAGTTTCTTATTACTTGCCTGTAATCTGAAGCCTTCACGATGAGCTTGGTGGAAGGCAGAGAAAGTCTGCGCTACATTAATTTCAGCAGAACGCGCTGAGGATCCTGTGGTTAGCACATCAGGAGTCATAAGAGGTACAGTAGCAAAGCCTGCTCGATCAGATCCTTGGATCCATTCGCTTGTTAAGAGATCACTCATTCGAAGCCTTTTCTTTGGGTCAACAGTCAAGAGTCCTATGAAGATGAGGCAAAGAAATATTAATGCTTATTGAAATTTACGTCAACAAATAACTCTAGGTTGAAAGCAAACCAGATACATACCTTTGGTGAGCTGCTTGGCAGCATGTGAGACATTTTGCCATGCATCAGCGTTAAAGTTAAAGTCACCTTCCTTAATCCTACACATAATAGCGGCCGCACTGTCGTCCCTGGATCGGGCATGGAATGGAGCACGGCCAGAGAGCATAGTGTACTGTAAAGAAATATGCCATAAGCTCTGTGTTCCATGGACTAAACACACACTGTCAAGATAATAATGCGGAATACACACCAAGATCACCCCTAAACTCCAAAGATCACAGTTTTCATCATAGCCCTCACTAGGTGGTTGACTTATGGCATTACCACTAGCATCACAAGTGGTATTACTACTATTGGCAGTTGATTTGACTAAGGCTTGTTTTAATACTTCTGGAGCAGCATAGTGAAGAGTAAAGCAGGGTGTGGTCAGAACTTCCTTTTCTTGCTTTAAGCGAGCAAACCCAAAGTCAACTATTTTAATATCTGAGTTGTCAGAGGTATCTGTGAATAGCAGATTCTGTTGGGGAAAGCAAAGTAAAATAAAATATTGTTAGACCTTGAATTTCAACAAACAGTTATAAAATATAAAACAAATTTAAGTTCCATACCTCTGGTTTAAGATCACGGTGCACTACTCCCCTAGAATGCATTTCACTCACAGCCGCAACTAAGCTTCTCATTATTCGACTAGCTTGGTTTTCAGTAAATCTTGCTTGTCTCCTGATTCTTTCTAGGAGCTCTCCACCTCTCAATAGTTCCAGTACTAGATATGTATGAGCCTAAAAATAAAATTGAAGAATAAGGATCTGGCATTTTCAGGTTAGTAAAGTAGTTTGTATCTTGTTTTAATACAAACCTCATCATAAAACACTTCTCGTAAGTTTACTATGTTGGAATGTCCTTGGCAGGCACGTAATAAGTTGATTTCCCTAGTACAATCAGTCTTTCGGCTCACTATTTTCACAGCATACTCCTGACCTGATTCTATATGCCTGCATTTTCTGCAGACTGAGTATGTTCCATCTCCAAGAATACCCTCATGGAGATCAATTTCATATTTCTTAAAGAAGGGAGACTCCTAAACAACAAAAGAAAATTGTTATTAAAATTTACACTTTATGATTTAAAATAAGTTATTTTCAGTACACCTTTGTGATCTGTCTATTTCAACATGTACATTGGACTTACCTTTATACAGGGTAATGTGAGACTTGTGGGACTCGGCCTCTTACTTTGATTGAAAATTTCATCACTCAGGATGTTTTCACTGAAGAGGACTGAAGGTGCAACATAAGAGTATCCCTGTACAAAATAAAAATAAAATCAGCACACTATTGGAAAGTGAGTAACAGCTAGCACTGAAATCTAAAAGGAAGAATTTCAAAGAAAGAATTGTTTTTAATATTGCCGTGAATGGCGTGGCTCACCTTGAATATCTTATCGAAGTTGGGGGGAATGACAGCGGGCGAGTCGGTGGGAGTCATACGTGTGAACTCCTCAGAGAAGTTGCTCACGTCCAGCTCGCTCGATATCCGAGGCACGAAGGGCGCAGGCACTCGCTTCTCCGCCAGGGCGAGCCAGTCCAGACTTCGGAAGAAGGGGTGCTTCTTCAGCTCCAGGGCGTCCTGCTCGCCGCCGCCCAGCCGCTTGCGGGGGTCCTTGACCAGCAGGGCCGAGATGAGGTCGGCCACCTCCGGCGACAGGCCGTCCGGGATAGGGGGGTTGGTCTTGAGGATCCTCCTGCGGACAACACGGAGAGGCACGGCGTCAGCACGGCGTCAGCACGGCGTCAGCACGCAGCCACAGGAGCCTCCGCACACGCAGCCCGGCTGGGTAGGCAACCGCCCGCCAGCAACGCTGAGCAGATGAGCGGGTGGCCTACCCCGCGCCTGGGCGGGAGCCTGCCGGCTCAAGGGCGCGGACAGGCGGACAGCACACCCACACGCGCGCTCAGAAAACCCAGGCATGCCATTCATTTATAGTTTCTGGCCAAACCGCAGTCCCCGCCCTCTCCTGAAAACCACAAGCAAACCAACCAGATAGCCCCCCCCCCCTTTTTCCCTTGTTTCGGCGCACGCCGGCAGACATTCAGACAATGACTTCGCACGGGCCCGTTCGAAAGGAAAGTGAGTTTCCTTATGCGCCGCTCCCACTTTATGCTTTAATTACTCCCCTCCCGCCATCCTACCGCGCACAGCGTACATGTGATGATAATAACAAAAGGGAAATCCAGGCGCTGCATGTGCGCTACACCAACACGCACGCACGCACGCACGATCATCCGACGAGGAGGGGGAAGTCAGTAATAATCTTTTGTCATGCACGCACTAATTTCACCGAACGTGTTCGCCCCTGCACCATGCCTGCACGCTACCGATTTGGCAGAAACGTCCACTCACATTCAAAATCATCTCACCACACTCGCGCTCCACACTCACCTGCTGATCTCCTGCTGCGTGTTCTTCTCGCCCTCCACGGTGAACGGCGAGGCGCCCGTCAGCAGCTCGTACGTGAGGACGCCCACGCTCCACCAGTCCACGGCCTGCGGGACGACAAGGCGTTAGCAACATAGAACGACACACGGCGACAGGCCAGAAGCCAATCGGAAGCGGCCAAAATAAAATCGCTGGGCGGACACGCCCATCCTACTCTATAGCGAGGCGGGGTAAGGGAGGGGCAGCTGAGGGGGAAAGGGGGTCGCGCCGGGGAGCCCGGGCAGGGAAACCAGGACCGAGTATACAAGTCTAGCGGCGGGCTCGGCTAAGTATCCGGCGGAAGCACGCAGGGCCCAGCGGTGCACGGCGGGCACGGCACAACACAGCGGCAGCAGGAGCGCGTGCGACTTCCCGCCACGCCCTGCCACGCCCCGTTAGTGGGTTAGTCTGCTCCGCGAGCCACGGCCACGTAAAAGGGACGCGGGCGTCTTCTCCTGCTGCCGCGTCCATAAGAGAAGCGCACCGACCGCGGCTTCCCTCACCGACAACACTCTGGTTGTGAGATGGAAATAATAGAGAATGTCGAGGGCGATGAAAGGGGAAAGGGGGGGGGGGCGAGAGCGAGGGCTTGTATGACAGGTGTGCAGCAGGACAGGAGTGTAGCAAGGGGTAGGGGGACGGGGTGGAGAAGGGCACAACAGACACGCTTCGCTAATCTCCGGGCGCGGCATGGCGCGCCTGCACAGACAACGCCGCGGGGCTTCGCGGCTCGGGAAGGGCGAGCGGGCGGGAGGGGGCAGAGGTGGTGGAGGGGCGGCTCTAGTCCGCTACGAGAGGAAGAAGGGGGGGGGGGAGTCCGCGCGCCGCGGTTCCACCACACTTTCTTCTCATGCACAACTCTGCATAACAGGGGCCTTATAGGCGGGCCTCCTAGGCTAGGGGCCGTCCCTCAGCGCTCACGATGCGGATCCAAGGGCGATGCGGAGTGGGCGAGGGGACGGCAGGAGCGAAGCGGAGGAGGAGAGGCGGGGGGGG